TATGAAAAGACAACAGAAGCTGGAGCAGGTAACCTTTTTTTTTTTTTTTTTTTTTTTTTTATTCAGTGCTTACTTTAATAATTAAAATGAACTATGCATTTCATGTTTCATGTTGTCCAGCTTGAACTGGAGCAGCAGAAAATGCAAGAGGAACAGGAAAACACCCCCGAGTTTGTGAAGATGAAGGGTAACCTGCGCCGGACCAAGCAGGAAGCGGATGGGGAGGGGCGAGCCACCTAAAATCCAGCCGGGGGGTTCTGGGTCTGGCTCACTGAGATGCCAAGGAGTGTGTGTTTTCTGTGGTACCACGATGGTAACCTGACCAGGATGAGCCTGTTGGCATTTCCTTTCCCCAAGTTTTCCTTCCTGCAGCGAGGAGAGAGACTCTAGAGACAAAAGATTTCCCCCCCATTCTTTCTCCCTGCAGTGGACCGCCAGCACTCGCACACCACCATCACCCCAAACCCGCCCAACACAGGAGGCACCTAACAGACATGTTACACGCTTTTCATGGGCCAGCAAGCTTCCATTGAGCTCTAGCGGAGGAAATAAACCAAACCCAGTCTGTTTTTCACTCTTTTTCTCCTCTTTGCGAGCTGTCGGTTTGAATTACTGTTATCAGTGTTGTCATTGTTGCTTTTGTTTTCATATTCACAATCATTGAAAAATCAAAAAAGTGGACACTGGATGGACTCTTAAAGCTGTGTAAAATAAAAGCCAAACAAATGTGCTTTTTGTTATTTATGTTGGTAGCTTTTAGCCCAGGTGTAGGGGAAGACCCTTCTAGTCATTCTGTTTTACTTTGTTTTACAGCATAGCATATACGGCCAGAGAAGGACAAAAGGAGTGGGTGGTTGTGTGAAAATATGCTTTTTCATTTTTATTCTGTACATGACATTTCCTCAGCTAATGCAATTTTAAGCAATAGTAAAACTCCCAGGCATGAGAGTAATTTTTCTTTATATATTCTATTGTTTTGTATGGAAAAGAATGTGTTAATAAATAATTTACATTTTATTTTGTTTGTCCTGAAGTGAATGATCATGTTTTGATCATTAGGGCACTCATTAGTTTGTACTGTCAAAATCTGGCATGATTTATGATGAAGGGGGGGTTGTACAGATAAAAAAAAAATATATATATATATATTTAAACTTTTACAGAAAAATTGTACAGGTTATGATTTATTTTGCTCATGAGTTGTAAGCAGGTTTAATAAGAGCCATTTGTTCATAAGCAGACCTTTGAACTAATGTAGGAACTAGGTCTATATCTTTGATTAACCCTCTAAGTTAACTACCATATATGGGAGACTGCATTTCAGGTAAGTAGTCGTTTTTAAGTTCTACAGTAGGTCGGGTTTCTTTTACTGTGAGATGCTACAAGTCTTCATGCACTTCATGCTTCACGTAGGAAAACTCAGGCATACAAACAAGCACTCCTAAAGTCCGCTAACATGTATGTTCATGAAAAACCATGCTGATATTGAGGGAACCTGCAAACCCAGCACAAAAAGGCTTGCAAAGAAAATGTTTGATCCAGAGGCCATGTGCCTTCAAAAAACAGATGGCCATAGAGGGGGAAATCTCAACTTTATAAAATTGTCCAGTAAGTGCAGGTTTTGCTTTATATTTTACATCAGTTTGTTTGTGGGATTAGATTTTTTTTTTTATATTTCAAACGTACAATATTTAAGATTTAAAGCATATTTGGACTGTTGGACCATTTAAAAAAAAAAAAACATGCAAAAGAGCAACCCAATTTCTACCTCATAAAGTAATGGTAAGGTTTTGTTACATTTTACCATAAAATTACCCTATATTTTATTAGAAATAAATGAATATAATGAAAAATGTAAATGTTTCCTTTTAAACATTTCAAATCTCATTTGTAACTAGAAAAGCAGTCAGAGAGCAATGCCTCTTCATTCACTCTGTGCTGTGTGTGATCAGCAGATTTGAGACTTTGAGTGAGTCATGGCTCACCCTTCCTGTGTTTTTGTCTTCAGTATAATACTTTGGGACTTTTCTGAGTCCAGTGCTGAAGCTGTGATTAGTCACTGCTGCTACTCTCTGGTTAACGGGGGGGACTGCTTGTTCCTCCAAATTATGGAACAGAATATTTCAAAGCTTGAAAAAGTTCGGTCTAGGCAACTGGATGTGAAGTTTTTTTGGAAGATGTCTGATATGCATGACCTGGATGACTGAGAATCTTCACAGATAAAATACTTTAAAAATTCCTCCATCCAAATAATGATGTCGAACATCACAAACATTTTATGGAATATTCATTGCACTAGGGTGCACCTTTGGTACAGATTTCATTACAACCTGTTCATAACTTTTCAAGTTATGCACACAGATGCCCAGAAAGACAAAAACATGCACAGACTTGACTAACATAACCTCATTGGCAGAAGTAACAACGAAAAGTGAATAACAGGTTCTTCTGTAATCACAGGGACCCATAAAGTTCAAGGCTAGCTCAAGTGGTGAGTGATGCCTCCTGCAAACGGGAGGCCTTGGTTTGTATCCCACCTGAGGGGAAGGAGTTGCCAGTGTGGGTCCTTAGACGAGACCCTTCATGCACATGCCTGCTTTTGTGAGAGGCGGCCTATTGGTTGGGGCATTGTGCTTGAAATCCTGAGGTTCTGAGTTCAAGCCCCACTTCCACTCTGGGTCCCTGAGCAGAGACCCTTAACCCCCATATTGCTCCCTGGGCGCCGCACAATGGCAGCCCACTGCTTCCCAAGGGGATGGGTTAAATGCAGATGGCTCATTTCATTTCTCTGTACTTGTGGCAGTGTAATGACAAAAAAATGTTTAAAATGCTCCCTTAGTGATGCAATATGGTATGAGCGTGCAGGTGGTGAAGCGTTTAGTGCGCACAACCCATGTACGGACCAACCAGGGTTCGAATCCGACCTGTGGTCCTTTGCAGCATGTCTCTGCTCCTCTCTCATACTCCCTTTCCTGTCAGTCTACTTTTGAGAACACTCAAAAAATAATAAAAATAAATTTAAAAAAAACGCAGTACTATTCTAGAATAATGTCAACAAAAACATTGATTTCCGTTTATTTACATTTTTTAATCAGTGGCTTCTTATTAAAAAGTAAAATACGACCGGTGTGAGATTGCAAATACCTCCTAAACTATTAAAAAATATATAGCCAGTAGATGGCAGCACAGTGCGCGTGTCACTTCTAAAACCACCGAAGAAGAAGTGAAGATTCTCGCCCTTTAGTTAGCGGCAGAGATGGCCGCTTGTGGCTTGTTCCGTTCATTTTCTTCAAACTTTTCCACATTTCGGTCTTTACTGACCCGCTCAGCGCTGCTCTCTCCTCAGAGACCGGCACTTCGGCCTCACTATGGAAGGACAATAGCTTCTTCAAGCCGATTATCAGAAGGTATTTGGCCCTGAATGTGTTTAGAGCAGCATGTTAGCCTGTTTTCCCAGGAGCAGGAGGAGAAAAGCGACATGATAGAATGTCAGCTCTGCTGCGTGTTTATCACATCATCCATGGACTACAGAGTTTATTTTATCTTACAGCTCTTAAGTTCACAGACAAGCACGAATGGGTTCGAGTAGACGATAGCGGGACAGGTACAGTCGGAATCAGCAACTTTGCACAAGTAAGTTTCCAGAATGAGTCCATTATGCACTGAAGTTGAAGGATTTTAGGCTGAACTTTGACCTTGTTTTCGATCAATTGCAGGAGGCTCTGGGAGATGTAGTTTACTGTGGACTGCCAGAGGTGGGAACACAGCTAGCTCAGCAGGGTATGCCCCCTTTTTTTTTTTTTTTTTTTTTTTTTTTTTTTTTTTTTTTTTTTTTTTAGAAAACTATGCATACCTTCCCTTTATTTCACAATTCACTTCTAGTTTGTTTTCTCTTTTTTTTTTCTCCTACAAATAATCTCTGTAAAACATTGTCAATTTGGGAAGAAGTTCAAGGGGTGTGAATACGTTTTACAGTTTGAAATACTGTCTTAGTCCATATTTCAGTAGGATTTTAACATTGGCACCATCTCCAATTGGCTTAAAATCAAAACTTTTTTTTATTTTACATGATTGACATGTAATCCTGTTCATGTAACACAGACTTTACCAACTAGAATGAGGTCATGGTGCTCATCTGTTCTGAATAAATCCTAGGAAATCGTCCACTAAATGCACTCCGGAAATCCCATGAGCTTTTAGTAGCAAAGATTTGTTCAAGCTTGGTTCTGGTGACGTGTTTTCTCATCGTTTTTCTTTTTTCTTCCTCTCTGCTGTAAAGGGGTCTTGCTCCTCAGAACAAACCAGAGCTCCAGAAAGTTCTAGAAAACAGAAAGAGGGAGCAAGTTATCAAGGCCCAGAAGGAGGAGCAGGAGGCTCATAAGAAACTTAGTGACCTGGAAATAGAGCTTATGAAAAGACAACAGAAGCTGGAGCAGGTAACCCTTTGATCTTTTTTTTTTTT